CTGCACCTCCTTTTCTGGGAGCCAGCTCAGGGTATGCCTCATTACTAAAGGGGGGTAAACAGGCCTGATTCTCTGAAGGCGGTCACCCCAGAGGGCAGGGCCCCGGCTGGGCTGGTTCACCACTAGCCCAGGGCGCGGTCTCTGGGGACAGCTGCTGCAAAGAATGCATCTGGGGGGGGGGTCCGCTCCCGAGTTGCCGTGGGTGAGGAGAAGCTACTGGGGGAAGGGATGTCCCTTGTGGTTGACAGCGCTTAGACGCCTGTACCTGCCCCCTCCCTCGGGTGATTAGTGAGAACCCAGTGGATTCGTTTTTCCCCAGGGAATGTAATCCTCCTAAGTTTTTTAGGGAGTATGCCTCTTAGTCAATGAGAATTCTGGGGGCTGTAGCTCCCCGTGACTAGATTTTCAGGGGGCGTGACCTCCAGGTGGTCAAAACAAGGCGTGATGAGTGATGTCCCCCCATGATGACCAGGGAATGGGGTATGTGTAACCCCCACGTTCCTAGTGGCTAGGAGGTCACGTGTCTCAAGAGGTGATAACTACTCAGGTGCTGCACCTCAAGATGATGGGTGACTGAGGGGTAGGCTCCTCTGGGTTCTCATGGGTCGGGGGAGAGGGGCCCTCCTGCTTAATGAGGGATGGTAGGTGGTATGTTCCCAAAGTATTTACCAGGTTATTCTTCTTAGCGATGAGTGTTGTTTGGGGGCTGGGTACCCCCGATGGGTGGGTTATTTCTCTCTTGGATGATTAGTGATAAAGGATGGCCCCCCACTGAGTGATCAGGGATTTGGAAACCCTGCACCCTCTCTGGATAATTTAGGTGAGACCTGACTTTGGGGGAGCATGTTAGTTTGTATATGAATGGGTGTGCAGCTGGAGATGCTGGGAGGCAGGCACCCTATAACGGAAGAGGGTGCCCTGGGCAAGCATTCACCTACCCAATGTCCAATGGCCTCATTTGCTCAACTAGATGAAGTGACGTTTAAAAATAGTCCAAAGAGAGACCTGTGCTGGAAAACAAGATTGAGCAGTAGGAGCCACCCGACTGAGCGAAGGTCTGAAGCTGCCGACTTTAGACTTGGGGCCAACTCCTCTGCTGGGCTGGCTCAGGCTCCGTGGCTTTAAATGCAGCTCCAAATGCCCAGATGCTCCCTGCCAGTCTCCCAACTCATATGCTCAACTGCTTATTTCCCATCTCCACCTGGATGTCTAACATACGATGTCGGGACCAGAGTTCTCAAATACTCCATCCATCTGGCCCTGTCACCCCTCAACATCCAATCCTTAACAAATCATGTTGGCTCCACTTCGAAACACACTAGAATCCACTCACTTCTCATAACCGCTGTTTGCTCCAGGCCCAAAGGTCACTCCCCTGGACCTCAGCCGACGCCTCCACCCTGCACACCCTTCGTCTGAGCCTGTCTCCTGACAGCACCCAGATCACTGTAACTGCCCTGTTTAAAACCCTTTAATGGCTTCTGTTATAGACTGAATGTTGGTGGTCCACCCCAAAATGCATACGTTGAAAACTAACCCCCAGGGTGATGGCTTCGGGAGGTGGAGCCTTGGGAAGGGGATTAGGTCATGAGGGTGGAGCCCTCGTGAATGAGATGAGTGCCCTTAGGCCCCAGAGGGCTCCCTCACCCCTTCTGCCAGGTGAGCACACAGTAAAAAGACAGCCATCCATGAACCAGGAGGCAGGCCCTCACCAGACCCGAAAATCTATCTGCTGGCACCTTGATCTTGGGACTTCCCAGCCTTCAGAACTGTGAGAAGCAAACGTGTGTTGTTTATAAGCCATCCGGTCCGGGGTATTCTGCTATAGCTGCACCAATGGAGAGAGACAGCTTCCAAAAACCATCTGCAGGATGCAGCCCCCTCCCTTGCCCAGATAACTCCAGACCAAAAATGCCTGTCAGTGGACACAAATTCTAAATGTTTTCCTTTCACTAGGCCTCCTGTGGGGCCTGCCCAATCTTCCTCACAGGGACACCCAGCAGCTCAGCCTGGGCCTTAGTACATCATCTTATCTCCACTCAGGGCGCGGGGAGGAAACCAAGCCTCAGTTACTACTATAACTAAGCATCTATTGCAACCACCAAGTGCACGATCAGGTTCTCGCACTCACTCACAACAGGGACTTACCTGATTCCAGGTAGCGAAATTGACTTTATCAGCTGCGTTGAAGGCCATGATGTTATATTTCTTAGTCGTGTTTCTGGAATGGGCAAGTAGAGGCAGTGCTCAGTCCTTCATTCATTTAACAAACACTCCCTGGCTCAGCAAAGCTGGGGACCCACAAAAGCCCTCAGGGGTTCCCAGTCTGACAGGGAACAGATCCGTACTCCCCCAACCCATGCTGAAGAAGAGCAGAAGGAGGCACAAAGACCTGGGGTAGCCCAAGATGTGGGAATAATGGGGAATTCTGCCCTGGGGATGGGGGAGGGCAGGCAGCGAATGTTTCCCAGAGGAGGAAAATCCTGGAACCGGGTTTCCCGAGGACCAACAAAGGAGTCACAACTGGGGAAAAGGCACTCCTGCCCGAGGGAATGCCAGGCCAGGAGGCTGCATCCTACCGCCTATTAATGTACTCATTCGTTTATTCATGCATTCCTTCTGTTCAAAACACAGGATGCCCCCACAGAGGCTTCGGCTCAACCCCGGCCCTGTCCCCAGGTCCCTGGCTAGTTAGGAGGGAGAATCACAGAAGGTGCCAGGCATGCCTAGAAGCTCAGGAAGGTTTTGATCCCTTCTCGGGGGAAGTGGGAAGAGGGCTCAGGGACTTACTTGGGAACTCGAACGACATACTCAGTGACGTTCTGGCTGCTGGGGCCCTGCGGGTAGAGAAGGAAGGACGGTGAGTGAGGGGTTGCAGAGGCCGCCGCCGGGACCCCCCAACTCCGCCGCATACTCACGAGGGCCGCCATGGGTGACGATCGGTGGTTCGGGTCCGGTCCGCGTCCCTCTGGCCCGGGAAAGCCGCCCTCGCGGTGTCGGGGTCTCTGGCCCCGATCGAGGACCCCAAGCCCGGTTGCCACCGATCCCGGGAGCAGCTCCCCAGAAGCGGTGCTCAGTCGGCCGTCCGTCTCGGGGACCACTCCGGCCACGTCTGCGCCTGCGCCTAACCTGGAACCGAAACTCGGGCCGCGTCGCGATGGCAACCTCCCTCCGCCTCACGTACCCCCGTCGCTTTCCAGAAGGAAGAGCCCAACCCGACCCCGAGCTAGCAATCACACCGTCTACCGCTCGCGGGGGGGGGGGGGGGGGGTCTCGCCTCGCTATATAGCGCGGTTAATTTAATCAGCCATGTGGCCACGCCTCCTTCGACGTCACACCCGGAACCGCGGGGCATCCTGGGAGGGGAGGGAGACACTAAGCCTTCCTCGCGAGGTCGCGGGCGCCCAGCGCATGCGCCACTCCACTCCGGAAGTGAGTGCAAGGAGGGCGCGTCGCCATAGCGACCGAGGCCTCTTCCGCAGCAAGCTGCTGCGGCTCCACCTGAGCCTCTTTGGGTTCATTTCCTCCTTCTGCCCCGGGGACACTTCATCATCTCGCCAAATGATCGGGCCCTTGTGACGTTGAGCCAAGCCAGGAAGAGTCAGGGCCTGGGTAGGGATGGAGCGCGACCACCCCACGGGCCGCTGGTGGGATGGGTCTGTGGAGGTCCAAGCTGCCCCAGATGGGCAGGGCCCTGAGACCCCAGGAAAAGGGTAACATCGCGGGGGCGGCTGGTCCACTGGGGTGGGGGGGATGGAAGGAGGCTGTGAAGGGCATGAGGGGCTGCAGGTGTCCCACACCCCAAGTCCAGCGTGCACACGCCCCCCCCCCCCCCCCGTGATAGAACCCCCCCCCCCCCCCCCCCCCCCCCCCGTGATAGTAACACAACTGCACATGCTCAAGGAACAGCCATGCTTTGATCCACGTGGGCACCTGCTGTGCGGGGTTCCGGGCACTCCAGGGTGAATGTGTCAAACTAGCTCCCTGGCCTGGAGATGAGAGTGTAGTGAAGGAGACAGTCTCAGAAAATGGCATCTACAAGCAGGAGGGAACACGGCTGCCACAGGGAAAAAGAAGAGCTGGCTCTCAGGTCTCAGGGAGGAGGGGAGATTTAAGCTGGGCCCTGTGAGTTGCTAGGAGTTCACTAAGCCAAGGTGGAGGGAAGCAAGACACTAACATTGCATTATAAACTACTGCACTCCATGGTCATGCCTGGTAGCCGTGGACGTTCATTTACTCATCACCCACTACTATAAGTCAGGAACTGTGCCAATTAATAGAAACATAGGGACCAGCAAGACAGAAATAGTCCTTGCCCTCATGGAGTATAGAGTCTGGCGGCGGAGACAGACAAGAACAAGTAAACAGGCAAAATCATTGCTGATCATGGCCGCTGCTGTGGAAGAAATGGGGCTCTGGGATGGAATGATGGGGAGGGAGTCTCTTAGAGAAAGCGTGATGGGGGGGCTGTGACCTGAAGGCAGTGGAGGAGGGACTTACTGTGCAGGGGGCACAGCAGGAGAGGGCTGAGTCTGGCAAGTTTAAGGGACAGAAGAGGCCACTGGGGCTAGAGCAGAGTGGAGGAAGAGGAGGGTGGTATGGGATGGTCTGGAGGATGGGCGAGTTCCTGCCCTGCTCTGAGCCTGTTTCCACAACTGTAGAATGGGATGAGAGAGTCATTGAGATTCTTCAAGGAGATGCTGTGTGCAGAGGGCCTGGCCTGCTCAAATTCACATCTGCTTCACAGCGACCCATAACAGCACTAATGCATGCCATGCCTGGATATACCATTGGGCATGGATATGCACCCCCAGATGCCACCCTAGGGCAAAAGTGGGTATGCCAGGAGACCCGTGTCCGGTGTCACTCACCAAGGACACACACTAGGCTGTGGACACAGTCACATCGGTGCATGCTGGCCCCTGCAGGCACCAAACCCTCTCCCCACCTCTTCCCTGGGCCCCCCAGACATCCTCAAGTACCCCGTGATCATCTTCGTGATGGGTGGCCCAGGTTGTGGCAAAGGGACACAGTGCAAGAACATGGCGACCAAATATGGCTTCTGCCATGTGGGGCTGGGCCAGCTGCTGCGGCAGGAGGCCCAACGCAGCACCCAGCGGGGCCGGAAGATCCATAACATCATGCTGCAGGGGCTCCTGGTGCCCATGGTGAGAGCTCACAGGCTCCGGGGCAGAGGGAAGAAGAAGGGGGTACATTAGGATGAGCTTCCCTGGAAGCCCTGTGGAAGCAGATGGGCCCAGAAGGCTACGGCTCCTGGCCTGGCCACTGCCTTGCTGCCCTGAGTCTCTGTGTCCTCACCTGTAAAAAGGGGAGACCAGCTGGACCCACAGCAGGAGTCTGTTGTGAGGGTTGGCTGACGTCATTGCACGTGGCAAAGTGCCTGGCACTTCACAAGCACTCGGTAAAGTTTGCTAGTATTTATTCCTTTTGTGACCTTGGGCGTCTCTATCACCGGCCCCTTCTGTACGTGTTTCCTCACCTGTAAAATGAAGGTCACCCCTGTACCTGGCACACAGTAGCCACTTGCCCAGTAGATGGGATCTGTGCATCAGAGTCGCCCCAGGGCACGAGAGCAGACCCAGAATCCCAGGCCCTGGAGAGGGCAGGTACTCCCTGGATTCAGCTGACGTCCAAACTGAGGGAGAGAACTTGACAAGGTGGCCATGTAGGTGAGGGACCCCGGGGCACTGAAGCCGCCACCCCTTTCCTTCCCAGGGCATCATCCTAGACATGATCTGCAACGCCATGTTATCTCGCCCAGAGAGCCGGGGCTTCCTCATTGACGGCTTCCTGCGGGAGCTGAGGCAGGCCAAGGAGTTTGAGCGCATTGTGAGTGACCCCAGGGGGTGTGAGTGTGTGGTGAGGTGTGAAGCCACTCCTCCCTCCCCACCTCAGATGGAGTCAGAAGGGCTGAGACTCGGGGGAGAGGAGATGGGGAGGGGGCAGTGGCATTTTATATTATCAAGGGACAGTCAGGAGATTGTTGGAAGCTTCTAGAACCTGGTGAGCTGGCCGGGACAGTCATATTAGTATCTTCCTGCACATAGATTATCTGCCCACTGAGTAGCACGTGGATTTAGCATCCTCTCTGGGCCACAAGGATGGAGTATAGTTATTCGTTCATCTATGTATTTAACCACCTGTCCCCAAACAGTAGAGAACAAGCTCTGTCCTTAGGAGTTCATGGGACAGCCTCAGTCCCTGCTCTTAGGATGCCAGTAGACAGGCACTGACCAATGCATGACTTGCTGAACAAAAGAGATGTTTCTGGCAGCAATAAATGCAGTCAAGAGCAGGAGACAGAATGACATCCTGGAGGGACTCAATGGGCTGTTTGGGTTGGGTGGTCCCCATTGGCCTCCTTGAAGTGAGGACATCGGACAACTGAGCTGTGCAAGGAGGAGCCAGCCAGTGCCGGCGAGTCGGACTACCTTTCTTCAGGTTACTTCTGCAGGCCAGCAGCGCTGACTTCATGAGAAGGCCCATCCACACGCCGGAACAGCCATGGCTGGAGCGTCTGGAAACAGCCGAGCAGGACAAGAGGAACTGGCAGATCGTCAGCCTCCAGGCTTTTCCAGAACTTGCTGGATAGGGTCGAAATGCCTTCAAAGAAGTCCAGGTGGGAATCAAACAGAGGTTGCCCAGGGCTGGGGCAGGTGGGGCCCTGCCCTTTGTCTGCACCTGCTTGGGAGCAATTTCTGTCGGGCTCATTGAAATGACTCTCAGGGCAAATATTGGGCTCCCTCTCCTGGTCCGGGCGCTCTGAGGGCAAAGGCCGGGCTCATGAATCTCTCCATCCTTATGAGCCCTGGGCCGGCGCCCACCCTACAGTAGGCCCCAGCCCTCGATGCCAGCTCAGCGGACTCCACAGGTGCCGCAAAGTCTCAGACCAGAAGCTGCACACCCCTGACCCTCAGGCCCCATGTGGTCCACCGATGGGTTTGGTTTGGACTCTACAGGTTTTTAAGGCCAAGCTTCAAAACTGAGGAGATGCCACATCAAAACTCCCAGCTTCCCTTGAAAATCGCCTGACTTGGCAGGCGCAGGGCCTGCATGTCCCCATGGCAACAGCAGCATGAATGCATCTTGAGCTTTTTCCTGAGCCCAGCGCTGTTCTTGACACTACACGGAGGAGCTCTGATCTTTCGGAATGTTCCAGAAAAAATGTTTCTTGCACCATCAGCATCCTGCTTTTTTACAGAGGGTTCGGGCGACTTGCCTGGGATCACATAATTTAGGTGGTAGACGCAGGCCTTACACCACAGCAATTGGTTCTGAGGCCTAGATTTTAACTATGTCAGTGGGGGACCTTTCTCCGCCTCCCGGTGGTCTCCCCGCTACACCCCTGAAGGTTGCCTCTCCATCATGGAGGCCGAGTGCCATCTGCCATGTAAGATCATACTTGTGTTGGGGTTTTATGCTAAGAGGAGCAGAACGCATGCATTCCTCTTGTGCCCGTGTGGCTGCCAAAAGTGCAAAAATGAAATAAACAGGGCTCTGGGTTAGGAGAGTGGATTTTCTTTGTGGAGAATTTTCTAGATCTCTGTGAGCTGCCAGGCCCCTGTTGACCTTTGAGGACCCTGGAGGCCCCTGCCTTTGGTCCGTCCAGGGGTCCCCGGAGGCACCCAGCTTGGTCCTTCCATCCCGACCCTGCTGGGCTGGAGTGTCTCTTTTAGGGCGGTCTCTGATGCTGTTTGGGTTTGGAGCTCGGGTCACACTCGGTCACTTTCTCCACCTGTCTGTGACTCGCACGAGACTCGGCCTCCCAAGCCTTAGTGTCCTCAACAGCGAATATGGACAGAAATGCTACAGGCATCTCCTCGATGTGGGGAGATGGGGAAGGCTGATTCCCGAGACAGTTTCCTGTCTGTTTCCAAGATCGCCTCGGTCACCTGTGCACCTGTCTGAGAACACCGCTCCAGGGAGCCGAGGCCCCGGGGTGGGTGGCCTATGTCAAATGAGCACGCGGGGACTCCCCACCAGGAAGCACTCTGCACAAGGGGCGGCGAGGAGGACCAGATAACCACGTGCAGCTCCGGTGATTATCGTCAGGTTGGACTTGCTTGGAGCATCCGTGACCAGTCGCCCCGAAACGCCCAGACACGGGACCCATTTCTCTGGGTCCCTGTTTCTCCCAAAAGTGCCACCTGCAGGGAAACTCCCCTGTTCACAGAAGTAGACTTAAATAATTATATATTAAAAAAAATTTTTTTTTGTTAATTAGAGGCTCACGGGAAATTGCCCTGTACCTTTCACCCAGTTCCCCCCAGGGGGTGGCATCGTCCAGTATCACAACCAGACTGTTAGCCTTGCTGCGTATTTGATTTTAGTTACCTCCGGAGCAAGGGATGCTCTCTTTCCATTCACTGAAGGGCTCTCACTGCCCGCCCTCCCCGCCCGGCAAAAAGTAGAAAAAGGCATTTGGGGGAATGCAGTGCTGTAAGTAACAGTGCTGACCTCGAAGTGCAAATTGACGCCGCCAAGACTTGCACTCGGAAGCACCCAGGAGAATGAAGGCACCTGTTCACTGTCCTCACCAGGAAGGGGACTCGCTTGTGCACTTGTGTGTGCGCGTGCTCCCTGAGTGGAAAAACCCACAAGGCCATCTTTGGTATCTCTGGTGCCAGATTTCAAACACACACACAACTGGAACGATCTCAGGGGTCTCCACGTCCCCAGATCAAACCATCATCGAGGTCTGGCCACACTTGCCTTATCTGCGCCAAAACATCTTGTCGCGGGCGCCTGGTGGCTCAGTCGGTGAAGCATCTGCCTTGGGCTCAGGTCATGCTCCTGGGGTCCTGGGATCGAGCCAGGATCGTCAGGATCCTTGCTTAGCGGAGGGCCTGTTTCTCCCTCTCCCTTTGCCCCTCCCCCTTGCTCTCTCTCTCTCTCTCTCAAATAAATAAAATCTTTAAAACACACACACACACACACACACACACACACACACACACACACACACAAAGTCTTGTTGCAGTTGCTGATTGTGTGCTTTGAAGCAGATACCAGGTCCCATTCTGGGCGCTCCCTCACCCAGACGCTCCTGAGATGGTTAACATGCATACCTCGAGACCATTCAATGCCCAGGCCACCTCTGAGTTTCCCCAGTGTCTGAAGAATGTCTCTTTGGTTTCCATCAGGTTAGACTTGTGAGGAGAACGAGGCACACACCTCGCTAGGTGTCTCCTAATCCAAGGCAGGTCGTCGGCTCTGCTTGCTTCCCTCCTGCCTTTGACGCACCAGAGAGCCTGGGATTCTGATTTGTTCAGATTTGTCCAGGGGCTTCCTGACTCGTGGTATTCCTTAACTCGTCTCTCTAGCCTTCATTTGCGCTGCACACGCAAAATTAACTACCGACCCACTCAGATTCAGGTTCGATACATTGGGTGTCTGTGTGTGTGTTTTTGAATCCGTACATATTTTTGTATATATTTTCCAAAAGATGAAGATTTCTGCAAAATCAAAACACTTCCCACTGTCCCACGTTAATATCTTTCACGTCCTCAAACAACTGATTGATATTCAAATTTCCGTGAACATCTTCAAAATCTCTGTCTTCTGACGTCTGGGTTTAATGAGGATTTAAGTAAAGGCTGACAGTGCAGTGGGTCGCTATGTCTCACGGTCCTTGTCAACAGTCGGCGCTCCTTCCATCGCGGCTGCTTCTGTTTTCCTTGCCATCGGGTTTATTGAAGAAGCCACGGCTTCGGGTCTCCTCATTTCGCACAGCCTGGATTTTGCCGATTGCAAAGCATTCTTTACCACGTTCCTCTCGCCACTAGATCTATCAGTCGGTGGTGTGTCTAGACTCTCGCTCGCTGGGGACTCAGATGCCATTTCTTCAAGCAGGTGTTGTAGGCATTGACGGGAACTGTGTGTCGGGTGGCACACAATGCTTAGTTGTCTCTTTGGCCTGGTTGGATTATCTCTTAAATGTGTTTGAGTGTGTTATTTTGGAGGAATCGGGCCCCCGAATGCTCACTGGGACACAGGTGGTGGACTCGAGAAAGTGGGAAAACAGAGTGTGTGTCGTGCTTGCAGTTTTGTGACATCTGTCCAATTCTGACGATGTCCTTCCAATTCCATGACATTCTGTGCTCCTCAGGGTTTGGCTCCTCCCCTACGTGGTGGCAGATGAAGCAGGGTGAATTTGGCGTAGAGCACTGTGGTTCAGTACTTTTTGTCTTGCGTAATTTCCAGGAGGCTCCCATGTGTCCGACTGCCACTACCTTAGTGAGGGGTCCGTAGTGGCTGGAAGGGTGTCCCCCCAAATTTGTATGTGGAAGCCCTCACCTCTAGGACCTCAGAATGTGACCATGGGTGGAGAGAGGGTCTTCAAAAAGGTGAGCAAGTCAAGAGGTCGTTAGGGTGGGCCCTGATCCAATCCGACCAGTGTCCTTACGAGAAGAGATTAGGGCATGGACACACAGAGGGCGGCGGACACAGGGAAAAGCCCAGGAAAGGAGTCTCAGAAGGAACTAGCTGGGTGGACACCTTGATTTTTCTTTTTTTGAAGATTTATTTATTTATTTTGAGAGAGAGGTTTTTCTCTGCTGGTCATGTTTTCCACATTGATTAGCGGGGAATCCTTCCCTAAAGAAGAAATTTCTTTCCTCACCGAGGACTGTTGGGGTCTCCTTCCTCAACGAAGGCTATTGTTCAGACTAAGGCGTTGGTGTCCTGGTTCCTCCCGATGGCGCCCACGAGGTTGGTCAACTTTGCCTTCCTTGTTTTGTTCTCTGTCATCGCTATGAACTCACGGGTCTTTGTCGCTGTTGATGTGAGAGCTGTCACATCGGTGGCCAGGGGGCACCCTTTCTCGCTGACACGTGTGTCCTCTGACACAGCCACGTGCCCCCCTCCCCTCCCCCCCTGCCACCTTTCACACTTCCCGCTGAATCCTAGAACTGGCCGTGCCTCGAAGGAGCCCTTTCTGAGTGGCGTCCACTCTGGGGGTCAGGGGTGCCCATTGCCACCGTTTCCAGGCCTTTCCAGGGGACAGAGCTGGAAAACACAAACGTGTGAAAGGGGAAGAAAAATATCACAAGTTCATACTGATGTTTCCAGTTCACACTTACCATGACTGTGCCTTCTCTTTCCCTAAAACGCCGGATTCCTAAAACCATGAACACGGTCATTCACATTTTTCCATCAGATGCAAAATAGTTTCCAAGGAATGTACCCATATTAACTACTAAGACCAAAACGACTGAAGGAAGTTTAAGATTTCTCTGCGGCTCTGATTTTCCTTGTAATATTCCTCACTGTGGATGTACACAAAAAACACCGAGTTGCCCGAAATAATTATTTTCTCTGTGTAGTTATGCATGACAATAACACTCAGTTGGGTCCATTTGTTTCTGTTTGGTTTTGGATATTTATGGATTGCTTTGTTAAATTTAACTTTTGAATTTTTGCATTATTTAATGATTCCAAAGTCAGAGCCACATAAAAAGGTACGCCGGAGAGAGCTCGTTTCCAGCCATTCCTGTCCGTCCCCAACCCCCATGGGCAACCATTTTCAGTAGTGTTTGGTTTGTCTTTCTGGCGTTTCTTTTTGCAAATATAAAGCCAGTGCGTGTGTGTGTGTGTGTGTGTGTGTGTGCATGTGCGCGCGCACGCGCGTGTGTGTGTGTGTGTGTGTGCGTGTGTGTGTGTGTGTGTGTGCATGTGAGAGAGAGACAGATCTTCCTCCTCACACAAAAACTAGAGTTCTGTATATACCTGTCTTCATTTTTTTTTTTTAACTTTACAATATATCCTGCAGATCTCCTATGGGCACCGAAGACTTCCTTGTTCCCTTTCTCTTCCAAGGTGTGGCACTGCCACCGTTTATCCGGCTGATCCCCCACTGACAATAAATTGTTGGACAACATGTTGGAAGACAAAAGCTGTTGGCAGTCTTGTGCCACCACAAACAATGCAACACTAAATAACCTCCGCATGGCATTTCTTTTCTTTTCTTTTTTTGCTAGTTATCTTTACAATAGGTTCTTTGGGGTGGGTTTTTAGACTAAAGAGAAACGTGTGGATCATTTTGCTAGCTATCACCACGGTCTTTGTTTTGCACCGCCACCAGCGAAAGATGAAAGTGTCCTTTCCTCACACCCGCACCAGCAGAGGATGCTGCCGAATTTTTGAATGTTTGTCACCCTGCTTAGGTGCAAAATGCTGTTTTGGGGTAGTTTAAATGGGAGTTTCTCTTACTATGAGTGAGGCTGAACATCTTCCCCAAAGTTTAAGGGCCATTTTTATTTCTTTTGTGTGCTCTTTATATCTTTAGCTTTATTTATTTATTTTTTTCTGACAGAGAGTTGGTCTCTTCTTCTTGATTTCTAGGAACTCTTTATATTGGGCTATATTGCAAATCTTTTCCCCCCACTTTGTCAGTTATCTTTTGACTTTGCTTTATGGTATCTTTCTGTCATGCAAAAGTTGTTTTTAAATTTTTAATCAAATTTATCATATTTTGTTATTTCTTCAGGATTTTAAGATCAGCCCCCCCCCCCCCAATCCTAGGCTTATAAGGGAATCTACTCATGGTTCATTTAGTACTTGTATGACCTTGTTTCTTACATTGATATCTCTGATCCATTCAGGACTTATCCTAGTTTTTGGAATGAGGTAAGGGTTCAATTTGACCTTTTTCCAAATCGTGATCCAGTTGTTCCAGGATCCTCTAGTTGATAGGCTGTCCTTTCTCCGTTTATTCGGGATGCCACCCTCACCATGTAACAACTTTCCGTATTCACTTGGGTCAATTTATGGATGCTACTCTGTTCCAGGGGTCTCTTTATCCCCCCTATGCCCTGCTGTCTTAGTTATGGCAGCTTTATTAGACTTTAGTATCTGTTAGGGTTCCAGACCTCCTCTCCCACCCCTACTATCCATTGGATTTCTTTGCCTAGGTCCTCTTGGACATCCCTGTGTTTGATTTTGTATACAAATGTTAGAGTCAGCCAATTCAACTAAAAATATGTTATCACGTTGAAATTACAAACTAATTCAGGAACTCACACCTTTATGATGTGGTCTTCCTACCCATGCACATTTTTATCTTTCTTTTGTTCAAGTCTCCTTTGAGTTATTTAGGGGTAATCTTATCCAAGTTTTCCCTAAAGATTGTCCTTAAGACTTTGCACATTTTTGGAAAAGTTTTGTCTGAGCATTTTATATTTCATTTTGTTGCTATTGTAAATGGGCCTTCTTTTCTTTTTTTTTTAATTTTTTATTGTTATGTTAATCACCATATATTACATCATTAGTTTTTGATGTAGTGTTCCATGATTCATTGTTTGTGCATAACACCCAGTGCTCCACGCAGAACGTGCCCTCTTTAATACCCATCACCAGGCTAACCCATCCCCCGCCCCCCTCCCCTCTAGAACCCTCAGTTTGTTTTTCAGAGTCCATCGTCTCTCCTGGTTCGTCTCCCCCTCTGACTTACTCCCCTTCATTCTTCCTCTCCTGTTATCTTCTTCTTTTCCTTTTTTCTTAAAATATGTTGCGTTATTTGTTTCAGAAGTACAGATCTATGATTCAACAGTCTTGCACAATTCACAGCGCTCACCGTAGCAGATACCCTCCCCAATGTCTATCACCCAGCCACGCTGGGCCTTCTTTTCTAACTGGTGATTTTTGCGTACATGTAGACTGTTGACCTCTGTGCGTTAGTATTATATTCTGTTACTTTTAGCGAATATTTTGTCAAATTTTCTTAAGTCTACGCTGGTTTATCTATTGATTGTCTTGAGTTTTCCAGAAATATAATCACATCACCTGCAAACAGACATGGTTCTACCTCCCTTCTTTCAAATTCAGGTTTCTCAAAGTGATTTCTCTTATCTCATTGCTTTAGCTAATCTCATACCTTATTAAGTCATAGGAGCAAGAGTGGGCAATTTTGTCTTGTTCCCAATTTCAGTGGGAAAGCAAATTTCCATTAAGATGTTGGCTAAAGATATTTATCAATTCCTAGCCTCTTTAAAAATCTGATTGCATGCTCTATTTTGTTAATTGCCCTCTTTGTGTTTATGAGGAGGATCATATGCCTTTTCCCTCATTGGTTAATACAATAAATTGTATTGAACCATCCTTGCTTTCTGGAATGAATCCCACTTTGTTGTAATTTTTTTTTTTTTAATGCATCATTGAAGTCTATTTTACAATGAAATTCTGGAGGGACTTGTAGGAGGTAGAGCTCACAGTGGGCAGACATGGAGATCTAGGAAGGTCTCCTTGAGACCAGTCAGGGAGGTCAGAGCAGTGGTATGGGTAAGGATGAGCTGGGGGCTCTTTTTTTTTTTTTTTTAAGATTTTATTTATTTATTTGACAGAGAGAGACAGGGAGAGAAGGAACACAAGCAGGGGGAGTGGAAGAGGGAGAAGCAGGCTTCCTGCTGAGCAGCGAGCCCGATGCGGGGCTCGATCTCAGGACCCTGGGATCATGACCCGAGCCGAAGACAGACGCTTAACGACTGAGCCACCCAGGCGCCCCTGAGCTGGGGGTTCTTGTACCTTACCCAGTGGAAGTATCTGGAATGCTTAAACCCATCTTAGAAGAAATATTTCAATCCAAATATCCATCGGCCTAGAACTAAGTTATAGTACATCCATACAGCTGGAACCTCCTCATGTACCAGTATGGAAACATCTCCAGTTATACTGAGTGAAGTCGAAGGCAAATCAGTATCCACCACTTGTATAAAAAGGGAGAAAAAAGGACATCGGAGCCCATTTGCTTTTACAGTATATGTCCCTAATAGTAGGTAACTCCAGGAAGGAGTTGCCTCCAGGGAGGGTGAAACTGGGTGGCTGGGGATGGTGAGGAAGTCTTCACTCTTCCCTGTTAGTGTTGTTTACTTCTGAGCCTCTGCCAGGGTCCTACCTATCTCAAAAAATAAATATGTGAACACTAACTTGGAGCTAAAAAATCAGGTGAACCCAGGGGGCCCGCACAATTCTAGACTCCTGATTTCAGGGTAGAGGGGTCAGGGAGCCACTGCACCTAGCCCCTTCCTCGCCCAGCCCCGTTTGCGGGTGCCTAGGTGGGCCGGGCCACAGACAGCGTCATCGTGTTTGACTGCTCCATGGACATGATGGTTCGGAGTGCTGCGCCGGGGCCGCGTAGAGCACCGGGCAGATGACTGTGAGGCGGCCATCCGCCAGCGCCTGGAGACAAACTACACGTTGTGTGAGCCAGTCTTGACCTTCTAGCAGCAGCAGAACCTGCTCTGTAATGTAGGTACTCCCTGCTTGCCACTCACCTCCCACCCCACCGACTGACTGCCCAAGGGAACAAGACAGGGGTCATGCCGTGGCCCACATCCTGGACCTCTCTGGGCCTGTTTCCCCACTATGTATACTGGGAAATTTGGGAACTCCCATTCCTTCGGTTGGGCAGTATGGGCACAGGCCGTGGCCTTCCGGCCATGACCTTTGAGGCCTAAACAGAATTACTATCTCCAAAGCTGCAACGTTAAAATACATTTTAGAATGTATCTACAAAATACAAGGTTAGGACAACTGGCGAACCACAGCTCAAGTCCAGCCATACACATTCCCCAGGGAAGGTAGGGGTATCTTAATTCTTAAAGTGACACATCTATGAAGACATTCAACTTTGTTGTCCCCATTTCCCACTGAAGGCAAGAGTGTGAGATGAGGCTGAAAGGAGGGTGTCTTGTGGAACTAGTTTTGACCAACGAGGTTGGGGAGGGAGGGTGGGGGGCGGGGTGAGGTGGGGGAGGCAGTTCCCCCCGCCTTCTGCCCTCCTGTGGCCTGCTCCGAGGGACCGCACCTCTGGCCAGCTGCTAGTGACATGTAACACTGTGTTGCAGCCTTCCTGACCCATTTCCCTCTCCCCTCACTTGCATGGCCCTGGCACTGCACGCACCTCGATTTTTTGCCCGCACTTAATGAAGAGGCCTGCTAACCTGCTTCCCCCTTTTGGAGGGGTGGAGAACAGTGTCCCTGCTGTGACTCAGCACTGACCCTTCACTCCCCCTCCTCTAGATCTTGGCAGAAGCAGCTCCAGAAAACATTTTTGCTAGGTGCTGCTCCATCATTGAAAGCCTGCAGTGATGGGAGGGGCTGGGGGCTCTGCCTTCGCCCTCATCCCAGAACCCACACGGGGTTCAGAAGGGGCGCAGTGCCTGGGAGGTAAGACATCTGGTGATGGCAGGCCAGGTTTTAATCTGAGCTGACTCCCCACGAGGCCCCAGACTTGACAGCCCCTTTCTGGGCCGTGGCACCACAGGGGTGGGTTGGCTGGGGGGCCCCCCACAGGAGCAGGTTCCTGACCAACCTGGACAAGGCCTGGCGGGGGGTGCTATGAGCTGTTGTGTGGGCTCCTGCTTGGGGCTGCCCTTGAAGCCTGTGGGCCCAGGCTTCTGAATGTGAAGCCTGATCTGTTAGCGTTCAATTCTTAAGCCCAGAGAGAGCACTCCAGCCACACAGTAGGCCTCAAGATGACTGCCCCTGGGCCAGACAGCTCAGACGGCCCCTCAGTTCACTCTTCCATATCCGGTCCTCACCCTTGGGAGGCCAGAGCCTCCCACCAAGCATTGGAACCAGGGCCATTTTTTAACAGGCCTGGTTTCTGCACAGGGGCCCGCTGAGAGACGAGGCCCGCCTGACTCCTGGGAGGCACACACAGCCGTGGGTCTGCTGGGGCGGCAGGCTGCATCCACGGAAGCACCTGTCCCCAGAGCCTCTCCTGGGTGTGCTGCTCCCCACGTCCTCACAGGGAAAGGGGGTGGGGGGACTACTCCACTGGGGCTCACCCTGCTGCTCCCTTTTCTGCAAGACAACACCAGAAGAGCGGTCTTTGGGGGGCCCAGACCCCACTCTGATTGGCCAACCCTTGCTCCTCTTCAGCTTGTCTCCTACAAACACAACTGCGGCCAGCATGCAGTTTTTAGACAAAAAGCACTTTATTTAACCAAAAAAAAAAAAAAAAAAAAAAAAAGGGTGGGGGGGAGTTAGGAAAGCACAATGCGCCTGCAGAAAACTATTTTTTCTTATAATTCTTTTTCTTAAAAAAAAAAAAAAGGAAGGAAGGAAAGCAAAAACACAACACAAAGCTTGTAATTTCCAATCACCATTATCAGGCTTTTACAACATCTATAAAGAACAAACAAACATCTGCTTCAAAACTCTACAGGGGGTGGGGGAGAGAGAAGGGAAAG